GCCAGTGGCATGAAGACAGCAGAGCTCTGAGCAGAGTCAACAGGCGGAGGCGTTGGTGTGGAAGGACAGACGCTGGGAGGAGATGCACCAGGCTCCGTGGCAGCGAGGGGCAAGCAGACCACGGTGTACGCGAAAGTGGAGGGACGGGAGCCCTGCCTGGAGACCGACCCCCTTCCACCACCCCACACACACACAGACGCAGACACATGCAGCCCACTGCAAAACAGCTCCACTCCCCACCATGACCTCCCACGGTGGTTCCCCTGGCCAGGCCCCAGAACCCCCCAGGCCCAGCCCCTGAGTCACTGTGTGGGCTCGTGCCAGGCAGCCCTCTCCTGCCTCCCAAGGGACCCACCCACCCGGCAGAGCTGGTAGGACTGGGGACCTGGCAGCAACTCAGATGGGGCCATCCTGGGCGACTCTCGGGGAGGCTCCCCGGCCGGAAACCGCCTGCTGCCTCGCAGGCCCCGCAGCCCTCTTGGAGCAGCAGGCCCTGGTCAAGCCCAGCATCGGCAGTCCAGAGCGACACTGAGCACATCCTGGGGAAACCACGGATGACCGCCAGCCAGCCAACACCACCACCAGACCCTGGAGTGACGGCGTCAGGTCTCCACTCCTTCCCCACACCCACCCAGCCACAGGACGAGAGGGGGGTGATCTGCTGACTGGGCCGCTGAGAGTGCTTGCCCTCTCCGGGTCTCCTGGGCCCTCTTCTCCAGAGGAGCTGGTTCCCCCTCCCCACCTCGGGCTCTCCCAGCATCAGCCTCTCACTCCCTCCGAAGTCAGAGTGGTCAGTCCCCTCTGCCCCAGCCTCTCAAACTGACAGGATCAGCCACTCAGCAAATATGCTCCAGGAGTAATTGGATGCGATAGAACATGGGCTTTTCAGCTCCTGCATGGAAGTCTCTGGATGTCATTTAACAGCACAAAAAAATAAAAGACTGGGGCTTCCCGCCCACCACCGCCAGGACACCATTAATCTCAGAAGAAAGGCATCAGCGCTTCTATCACTGCGCCAGCCCCGCGAAGAGCCAGACAAATTACCGTCCAAGCCTGGCACTCAGAGGGGTGGCTTTCAAGCTAGCGTTCCATTCTGGTTCTGTCTTCAGGGCCACTGTCCCCCGACGGGAAGCAACGGTGCCTCTGCCCAGGGGGCGAAAAGGGGCAGGCCAGAGAAAAGAGGGTGGCCGCCTTGGTTAGACACAGCTCACCTACCTGGGGTGACAGGGCAGCTTCGAGCCACGCACCCCAGGTCCCAGCAGAGACCATGGTGGCCCCGAGGAGGTGCCCCCAGGCTCAGTACCCCACCCCCTGTTCCAGAGCCCACCTGAGTGAGAGCCCACCTCCCAGTGAGGGCTTCCCGACCCCCACTGCTCAGGCTGAGAGGGAGACACTTTGGGGCCTATTAAAGACCGAATGACAGGTCAGGTGGGTCATGTCTCTTGGCTAGAGTAAGTAAGGACACACAGGAAATAGTTTTCCTATGCTGTCAGGAAGTCTTAAGAGTGGGCCTGCTGGAGAGACTGGGGGTGCGGCTGGGGGTGGGACCTCATCTGTGGGAGGTGAGGGACATGTTGTGCTGCTGGGCAAGGCCACCCTTCGAAGGCCTGGCTTATCAGTCCGGTGTTAATTGTCTTATGAACTCATTGAGGGCCAGGGTGGGGCCTGGATGAGTCAGCTCCGCTCCCCCATGCTTAGCAGACCCCAGGACAAGGCTGTCGGTACTCGGAGGCCTGGACCCCAGGGTCTGAGATTCTCTTCAGCTTAGAGTCTCCACGTTCGAGTGGAGGAGCTGTCTACCCTGTTCTCCCGAGTCCTACGAGGGAGGGGCTGCCTGATGAGGTGTAGCATCACTTTCTCTATGTTGTGGGTGCCTGGTTGACCCTAATGGGCTCAGTGGGGCTGTCCACCCTGGGGTGAACCACTCCCAAAGAGTGGTGAGCACAGCAGGTCTGGGGAGCTGGGGGTGGAGACAGTGAGTGTCCAGACCTGCCTTGGAGCTGTTTACAAAAACCCCAGCCTTTGTAGTCAGTCCCCAGAACTCCAACTCAAATGAGCTTCCAAATGCTTGGGGCCGCTCTCCCGCTTGTTAAAGACAAGGGCCATTCCCCCCCCCCCCGTTCACCGCCCCCCCCCACCATGTCTGGTAGAGACCAGGCACACAGTGGCGGCCCAGGAACCCCTGGTGGCTTTAGATAAGGTTCCCGAAGTCTCCCCTTGGCCCACTTCTGTAACATCTCTAACATCTAATCTCTGATGACTAACACCTTCCCCATCAGCACCAACCAGTAGGTGAGAGGATGCCTGAGTCTGATTTTGCAGGATGGGAACGTTACCCCCTAGGTTTGGGTCAGGATCCGCCTGCTCATCACATGTGGCAGCCCTGCCCTCAGAGGACCAGAAGACCAGACCTCTACATCCAGTCACTGGATGGCTCGGGAGGCAGACATCAGACACCCCACTTCTTTCTCCCTCCAGCCGGAGGCCTTTGAAATGCAGGCACCACCCTGCCCTGTCCCTGGAAGAACCCATCCTGGGTGGGCCCAGGGGCCAGGGGGAGGGGCCCGGGCGCAGGCAGCAGCCCTGGGCTCTTCAGGGGACCTGCAGGCCAATGCAGCATGGGGCTTTCCTCTACACAGTGACCATGGAAGCCACAACCTCCAAGCTCCCCGTATCTCCTCGCACCCCCTGAGGGTCTGACTCACCCTCATTCCTTCTAGAACTCACAGGGTCAGTTCCTCTTACTCTTTGTGGCAGGAAACGGGGGTGTAAGGAGTCACAGCCAAGCCAAGGGAGGAGGCAGCATGAGGCTAGCGGCCGGTGGCACTGTCCCCACTCTCCTGAGGGACAGAAGGGCTGCTCTGAGGAGCTGCCCAAGAAGCCCAAGAACCACAGGACTGACGGACACGGGACAGGGAAGGAGCCGTGACGGTGCCAAGGCCACCCAGGCCCCATCAGAGAAGTCATCTGAGCTGAGGGAGGGTGCACCACTGCAGAGGGAGCAAGGTCTCCCTCGGGGTGCAGGGGATTTCTTTCCGCCACTTGCCCTGATCTCGTGATGAGTTTCAATTCCCTCCTTGCCACCCAGGTTCCTTCCTGCCCTGCTCGGTGGGGAAGGCCCCCTTGTCCCCATGCCCGCCACACACCAGTTCACCCAGAGCCCCTCCCCAGCGTGCACATGCACTTACACATGGGCGTGCACACAAACAAGTGTCCACACACACACACACACACGTGCTCACATATGCACAGGCTCTCCCAGGGCTGTGAAACCCACAATATTTTCCCAGCCAGCCAGGCTCCCTGAGTGTTAAGGCACAGGCCAGGCCTCCTAGCGGAAGCCCCCACAACGTCAGTGCCACACCTCAGCCCAGCAGCAGACGTCCGACGGGTGAGGCTCTTTCCAGGGCCTGGCCACAGTGGCCCCAAGAGGACTCCTGAAACTGCTGCTTTCCAGCCCAATCTGAGAGCACAGTCGCTGAGCCCGATAGGAGAGGAAGGGACCTGAAGAGGCCCTTCTCCCTTCTCCTCATGAGGATGAACTGGATGAATGCGAGTGAGGTTCCCAGAACCGTGCCTGGCACACAGAAAGCTCTATGTCCATGTTTTACTGCTATTACTATTTTTGGCATTATTATTGTCATTATTTTGTTTCTTTGGATTAAAAATTGTCCTCCCCTGGAAAATATCTTTGAAATGCAGACAGTCCCTGTGGAGAAGGGAGGTAGATGGAGTGCAGCACCCTAAGGGGTTGTGAGTGCAGACAGAGAACCATGGGCGGGCCAGCGGGCGACTGGGGGAGGGCCTCCAGGGTGCCGGCTGCTCGCCCTGTTCTCTTCGTGCACCTCTGTCCTCCGCAGCCCCAGGCTGGACTGGCCACTACCCAGCTCTGCTCTGGACAAGGTCTTCCCTGAGCAGTTCCTTCACCCAGGAAAAGTGACTAGATGTTTTTTTAAAGAGGAAAGAAAATACAGGATACCCAGTTCAATTGGAATTTCAGATAAACAAGAAAGAATTCTCTACTGTAAGTATGCTCCATGCAATACATGAAACATGCGCTAACAAATGATTTGTTGTTGATCTGGAATTCTGATTGAACTGGGTGTCCTCTATTTTCTCTGGCAACCATCGGCCAAGGGTGCCTGAGGCCCCAAGGTTTGGGAAACAAGAGCGTGGGAATATGCCTCTGACCGCTTCCCTCAGCCCCTCCCCCGGGCCCTGGGCTGTGCCCTCCCTGCTCTGCTAGGAGGCCTGTTCATACTTGCCCTAGAGGATGGCTCTCCCCCAATGCCCCTGTGTTTTCTCCCCTCAAGGAGGGCCCTCTGACCTGGGCACTGACTGGGCTTCTCCAGGTCCCAGCCTGGAGACGTCTTGCCCACACTCAGCTCCCCTCCAGGATCCAGGTGCCCCGGAGCAGGGAGAAGGGGCCCTGGCCATACCCCCTTCTCCTTGGCTGCTACCACAGCCAGGGCTCCTTTCCTGGCTCCGAGGCGGTGTTTGGGGTTCAAGAGAGGAGAGGAGGCCAGATGAATGGCCCAGACACACCTGGGCCATCTCCACCCCAGTGGCTGGGGTGACCAGGTGTGAAGAGCAGAAGCATGAAAGCCTCAGTCATGGGGTCAAGAAAGCCTGCAGGAAAAGGGGGCGGGTGAAGGAAATGCGCAGACCACCTGACCAGGCATTTCCCTTCTGCGTGTGCGTGAGGAGGCAGAACTATGCAAAACCAAGGGCACTGGGGATGGAGACCAAAGGCCGCTCTTGACTCAGTCCAGACCCCAGGTCCCCGTTGTCTTCTGGGGAACAGCCCCTTTCCAGGCTCTCTGCCAACACCCAGGGGAGTCCCTGTAGCTAGGAGCCAGAGGCACTCCCAGGTTCTCAGCCCAGTGGCCGAGGTCACCTGCTGTCTCCACGCCACCAGAGCTGGCCTCCCTCTCACCCTGCCAGCTCTGCAGTCCATGGTTCTCTCTCACGGCCTCCCTGTGGTTTGTTTGTCCTTCTAGGCGCTTGGCAACTGGACCAATTTCTGACACGCTTCAACCTGAAGGAACCTGCAGCAGCCACCCAGTTCATGACCCAAAATCACATGGACCCACCACCAGTCCGAGCTCCCGGGGGCGGAGGAGGTGGCAATGTCCAGATTCCCCCCGGAGGAGGGAGCAGTGAGCCCACATACAAACCCAAACAGGCCTCAGGCCTTGCCTTGCCGGTGTGCATCCACATCGCCCACCACCTATGGTCTGGGTGAGAAGCCGCCTCTGGGTGTGGAACCCCTTCTCTCCCCAATTAAAAATATCTCCCAGGTCTCAGTGATTGGATATTTCATTTCCTAGCCTGTCCTCCTTCAAACACCAAGGGGAGGAACTCCACTGATGTCCAGGATGGGGGCCTGTGAATACAAGCACAGGGGGCTGTGTTGGGAGCAGGGGTCTAGATGGACAGGGAGAAGGTGAAGACCCCCAGCCCTGGACTGTCACTGGAGTGCACTGTGGGACCTTGAGCCAGTCACCCACCGTCTTCATTCTGCTTCCTCAGACATAACGTTGAGGTGGGAAGAAGAGGTAGGGGCGGCTGGTTTATCACCACGGTCCTTTCCAGCTCCGACATTCAACACAATTCAACTATTGTGGGCACCTACTGTGTGCCTGACCTTCTGCTAAGTACGGGGGTCCATGTGTGCACAGGGCAGACAAAAGCGGAGGCTTGCTTCACGAACCCAGGAGGGAGCGGAAGACTCATCAGATGACCACAAGCAAATTACGGCATCCGCGACAAGTGCTCCGAGGGTGCCAGGACTTGCTGTGACTGGGGAGAGGGATCAGGCAAGGCCTCTCGGAGGAAGTGATGTTTAACTTCAGGGCTGAAAAGCAGGTACAGGTTAACTACGAGTAGCCATGGGGCAGAGAGCGTGCCAAATAGAAGGAACACCTCGGGGCTCCATGGCTACCAGGGCTGAGGGTGGCATCTCCCAGGAAACAAAAGGCCAGTAGTGTGGCCACCTGGACATGTGAGCAAAGACTAGAACATGCCAGGCCTTGAATGCTCAAATTTTGGACTGTACCCTGAAAGCAATGGGAAATCATGCAATGATATGTGGACTGGAGGGAGAGAGGGGATGTAACCTGATTTGTGCTTGTAGAAAGCTGTGAAGACCTCCTTGGCTTCTGCAGGAAAAGGAACGTTGCTGTCTCCCTCCCTGGATGTCTTCTGAATGTCTCTTGGCTTCCCCTCCAAGGATACCTTGGAGGCATCTCTTAACTACAGTCTCTTTCACAGCCTCAAGTATCTCAACTGCCCACCCCCAACTCCAGTCCTGTCAGCACCTCCAATCTCTGCTCAGTTTCCCTCCAAGACTTAATGACCACCACCCCCTTCCTTGGCTAGAGCACAGCAATGCTGGTGACTTGTGTGTGCAAAGTGCCTCGAAATCCCCAGACGTAAGGGGCAGGCTGCAGCTGGGCACTGCATTAGTGCCCTCTTAGAGCCAGGACCCACATTAGCCAGAAAGCAGGGGGGCCCTGGCCACCCCCTCAGCCCAGCCAAGCACACTGCCAGGCAATTGGAAGATTTTCATGATGGGCTCTGAAGAACACAATGAGCGGGGAGACTGCACGTGTGAACAGGGAGGGCAGTGGACCATGCTTCCCCCGGCCTGCGTAAATTCAGCTTCCGAAGCCTAGGACACCAAGCTCTAGTTCTGGAGAAGATCCTTTGACGCCACCTGAGGCAATAGGAACTCCTACTCCCTTCTACCCCACCAGACAAGCTTGCCAGCAGAGCTAAAAGAAGAAACAAAAGGAAATGTCCATTTGCAGTGTCATGGAAAGCAGTCCCTCAGAAGGGACTTTGTGGGTGTCTGCGAACCTCACACTCCCCTCGTCCCCCACCCCGCAGGCCCAGAGTGTAATTGGCAGCTCTGGTTGGGGCCCAAGCCGGGGCTAAATGGCAGGTCAGCTTCCTAGAGCAGCCCCAGCTGGAGGCGCATCCTCCCCTCTTCTGCTTTTAATTCCTTGTGGCTAGCATGTTTATTTTGGGTGAGGAAAAAAATCGGATGTTTATCCTTCGAGGAAATTATCGGCTTGCTTTCCTTCCTTCCCCCCGCCCCTTTCTTTCCCCCTGGTGTTTTTGGGCTCTTCCTTCGGTTCCAGGAGAGACCCCCACCCTGCTAGCCCCAAAACGTGAAAAAAGAACAAAGCTGGCCCAGGCTGGAGGCCACAGACGGCCCTGCCAGACAGTCCCTGGAAGCCGCAGAGAAGGAGGTCCCAGTGGCAGGGAGACAAAACCTGGAGGCCGAGAGACCTTGGGGAAACCCACCCTTGACTCTCAGCTCTCTGCCTGTGCAACATGTGGGGGCCCCGTCCCTTTACACGGCCTCCTCCCAGAAGGAACAAAATGAACATGTAGATTACTGAGAGCTCTCACGAAGCAGCTAAGAGGGATATCGCACACGAGAGCACCAGCATCCCCTCTGCAGGGTTCAGGAGGACTGGTACTTTTATCACCATCAGACCCCACTTGGTGAGCACCTTCCGCATCCCAGGAACTGTACCAGATGCTTAACATGTGGCCCCTCGTTCAGTGCATTCCTGCACAGCCTCACAGCCCACGGGCCCTTCATACATGTTCTCTCATTCAGTTGTCACAACAATCTAATAATGTAGGTGTTGTTGTTCTCCTTTTATAGAGGAGGAAACTGACATTCTGGTAAGTCAAGGAACCTACTCCCTGTCTTGTGACTGGTAATGATGAAATCTGGGGTTAACTCAAGCCTTCTCACTCAGTGCTCAGAGGCCACGAGTACTCTAATTTTGAACTCTGGGCTACATAAAATAAAGACAGGCGTTCCATTTATTCAGAAGCCAGGTGGGCCAAGAGCGAAGGCTGGAAGTTCCAGGAGAATTTAGAGGACTGTCTCTCCCAAGCATCTTCCCTTGCCTCAGCTTCAGCTACTCTCAATCAAGTGTGACTTGTGGGGAGGGCCAGCTCCTGGATCCTCCCAGCAATGGCCTGACCCAGCTCAAGGTCATTACCATCCCCCACCCCACCTGCCCAAGGCAATCACCCCAAGAGTTTACCCTCCTCAACCCACTAAACCCCACCTCCCTCCTGTGTGTTAACTGCTCTGAGAGAAAGAAGGGAGTGGAAAAGGAGAGGGAGCCTTCTAGGAAGGCTCCCTGGTGGTGGTGACAATAGCGATGGTGGTGGCGGTGGACGGTCCAGGTATCAGGGCTGAGCAGCTTTGACATAGGAGGAAACCCTGGTAAATGCAATAGGTGGTGTGGTTTAAAAAGCACAATTGTTCTTCCCTAGCATGCCTAAGTTAACATAGAATCCTACCACTTGATAATCCTGTAATTTCGGGCAAATTCCCTGTTTTGTACCTGTGCTTCCTCTGCAACAGAAGTAAAAAAAACAATTAAATGTAAGTAAGTGACTTTCTTAAAGCTGTGCTGCAATGGTTAAATGAGATAGCATGGAAGATAGCCAGGCGCAATGCCAGGCCGCAGGCTGCCCAGTGAACGCAGGTTTTCCTCTCTTTTCCTGCCTCCACCTCATCTGTACTGATCCCCAGCTCAGTAACAGGGAAGAGTCACCTTCCCCAAATGAGAGTCCTTCTCAAGAGACCCATCAAAGGACCAAGCCCCAGCCCAGCATCCCCCTCCCAAGCTCAGCAAACACTGGGTGGCTTGGATCAGGAGAGACAACCCAGTTCCTTAGCAACTAACAAGCACTTCCCTGTAAAGACAAAGACCCTTCACTCAGAATGCCCCCTCCCCCACCCCTGGTCTCTCCAGGTGACTGATCTCAGTGCAGGAGTGGGGCTAGGGGCTGCCCACCCCCCAGAGGTCCAGAGACCTCCTGCCCCACCCTCCCAGCAGTCCCGATATCCCCTGTAATTATCCCATAGCACCTTTCATCCGGGTGCTAATTACCTTTCACATTTAGCCCCAGGGGCTGATGGGAGACACAGGAGGTGTGCGCACACTTGCACAGACACACAAATGCCCATATGCATCTCTTCTTCTAGAGGACCTCCCCCCGCAATTTCAGAGACGGGAAACTAAGACTGGCTAGAGGATCCAGTTCCTTCAGGGTTCCCATCTGATCTGAGAAGCAGGAGCTGCAGAGCCTGGTTCAGGGAAAAGGGAGGACAGGGTCACTGACTATTCTGGGGGGTGAGGGGCCGGGAAGAAGAGCCTTTTGAAAGGACTGTGGAAAACTGCCAGGACAGAGGTCTTGGCTCTGAACGCCACCTTGGTGCCACCATCTGCAAGCTGTCCTGCTTACCACAGAAAGAGCATTTCAAAGGGAAAAGGAAATGTTTTAATATAAAAAGAAAGGAAGAGAAAGCATAAGAAAGAGAAGGGGACAGAAAAGAAGGACACACGGCCGGCCGGGCTGTGCGGCCTGATGCAGCCAGAGAACCACCTAGACAGCGGGAGTGGAGGCCTGGTTGATTGGCAGCACCTGCGCTGTCATTCACTGCCATGCAAGCCCCAGCAAGTTGGCCGCCCTCGTCTGGGCCTCGGTTCATTCACCTATGAGATACTTTGGGACAGTGTTCTCTGAGGCCCCATTCTAGCTGGATGGTCTGCAATTCTGTGTGGTTATTGAGTGAAATGGTAGAGAAAGCCACTCCCACCGTCCCCTTGGCTGGGAGGTGAGTGGAAGCCACTAGAACAGGGTAGAGAGAGCATTCTTGGCATTAAGAATAAAAAAGAGCCAAGTGCCTTTGACTGTAGGAACCAGAGAACCTGACAGGGGCCCAGAGGAAAGAGGAGTCGCTGATCTGGGACCTGAAGACCCTGGGTCTGCACTCAGGGACAGAGGGCAGAAAAGTGACGCAGGCCCCGGGAAGGGCACAGAAGCAACCCGTTTGTTCCTTGTGAACTGGAGCCTGCCCCACTGCCTACTGGCACTGCCATCAGTCAGCTGGGCAGGGGGCAGAGGGTTCGAAGGAAAGAGGCTGAGCCTGTCAGAAAGGTCAGCGCAGCAGGGCCCTGAGTTCCAACTTTCATGTTCATTCTCATGGAGAAAGTGGACAGTGGGCTAAGTAAGCCTCCCTTAGGGCCCGGGCAGAAGGGCAAGCAGGGCAAGTGCCCTAAAGGAGTGCACACAGTCTCCCCGCACTTACACACACACTCACACACATTCACACACACACAGGAACAACTGGATATGCACACACATGCCAGTCATCCTAAAGCAACGGCTCCTGTACGCATGTGCTGTGGCTGTCACACCAGCGTACAGTCAGCCACGCTTCTGTACAGGTGGGGACTCGGCCGCACGACAG